CTGTACTTAAAATTTGTCTCAAGGAATTTTCACTGGTAGAGCATGCAAGTTCCTCTGTATTGTACTGAGAGGTTTGCATAGATTCATGTCCAAATAGAAATCACTTCTACAAACATAAAAGGTAGAAGGGATCATTTTATGGTATTCTTTACGATAGCTACGTTAGCACAATTCAAACCTGCTTGGAGGGTCCGTGTTAAATATTGTATTTGGTATATCCTCCATTAGAAAAGTGAATTGTAATAAATGTTCACTGTTAACTACTAAAAATCAGAAGTGCATCTTACATTTACAATGTGCAATGTCCTGGTTATCTGGATTTTCGATCTCAACAGCAGTTTCTATAGTCTTGGTCCTGAAATCTACCCTAAATCTTTAAGTTATCTTGGCATGTATGTCTAGAATATTCTTCAGAACACTCTCTGTTTTCAGAGAAAACACCTGAATACTCTCTGTTTTTAAATATTTTTTTCTTAACATGCTACTGAAAATGTACGAAAATAGAATAATGGTAAACTCTTAAGAAATGCTGAAATAGAAAAATAAATAGTTGAATTGGCATTATTTAACATTGCTATGTAAACTGAAAATAAACATTTTATCTCCAGTGGAAAGGGTTTAAATTTTCATATTAGGGGAATTTGGCTTAATAAGAAACCAAATTTATATTTCTCTAGCTAGAGCCTAGCTTCTGTTTTTTTATTCTATGTATTAAGTGCATTTTATTTTATTAAATGTCATATTCTTTCTATATTATATTACTGTCACTTTTATAGCCTTTTTTCTTCTTTCAGTATATTGTCATGGCTCTTACCTTTTCAAGTTATGGATTATGTCACTTATATTTACTGAGTGACCATTGTAAGTCAAAAAAAAAGAAATACCAATAAGAAATGTTAGAATGAATATAAGAATATTGGCCTCAAATCTTTTGTATGTCTTAAATTTATATGCAAATCAGTACCATATGAATTACAACTTGACTGTTATTTTTAAGAACGCAAGGCATTGGCCTTAAATGTGTTAATTCTGAAAAGTATATGCAGCCATCGTAAGCTTAAACATACAGACAAAACAAATAGGCCCAGATCTGCAACCAGGAGTGGATTACTGTGCCTGAATATAAAAGGGACTGATCACCTGGCATCATGCAACATAGGTGGAGCATAAAATACACGAGTGCCTTTCTTGTATGGTTTTCTTAAAATAAGAAAATATGTCGAAATGTTCTTATTTAATAGAGAGATGTGGCAAATCTAAAATTTAAGTCCAAAATATAATACCTTTTTAAGACAAGATTTTTGCATTTTCCTTCAAATAATGAATTTTGATTCTCCCTAGGTGAGTATTGCTAGAACTAGTATGTTTAATTTCTAGAGCTCAAAATTATTTATTATGCCATTATGGCTTATAATTTAAACATCTTCAGTCTTTTGACTTCTTAAGTTTTTATACGTACATATATTTAAGAGAATTTGTTGCAGTTTTATTTATCATTAAACACCAGACCATGTAAGCCTCTTTACCATTACAAACACATATATATAGCACACTGCAGTTTTTATACGTACATATATTTAAGAGAATTTGTTGCAGTTTTATTTATCATTAAACACCAGATCATGTAAGCCTCTTTACCATTACAAACACATATATATAGCACACTGCAATGTTCAAAGTATATTTACTTACATCTTTGTTTGATGTAATCCTCCTTTGTGAGAGGAAACTGATATTCCATATTTAGTGTCTTTAATAAATGGAGAATTGAGTTTTTAAATGACTTCTTGAAGATCACATTGCTACCAGGTGCATACACAGGCTACCATCCACATTTTTAGGACATATTGAATTTACATTGCAGCACATGCTAGCATGACCATTTTTATTTCTTTGCAAAAAATCAAAAAGAAAAAGAATGTATTTACATCTTTTATAATTTTTTGAAAGGATGAGTGAATGGTAGTACTGGGTGTCCGTCTCTAGTAGTTGGGAAGAATAAAGAAAATTATACAAGTTGTCTAAGAAGGTCTAGCATCCCTGGTCATCGCTTATTGGATGTGTGGTCTTTATTGTATTGTTTTCTTATCTTTTCTTTTATTTCTATTATTTCTTATCTTTTCTTTTCTGTTATCTACCTTATTCATCTTATTGCAGACCAGTATCTCCTCTCTATTATAGAGTTTTAGTATTATTCAATGATAAGTTTTTAAGCAAACACTGAATTTTAAAATAAGAATTTAAACTCAAGACAGCCTCAAGACTTGAAACCAGAGACTTCCTGTTAGTTCTGAGTTACTCTAAACCATAGGATATGAAAGGATTGGTCCTGAAGGGTTGGACTTTTCTTGTTGATGGTTGTCTCAGTCATACAGGTTGTGTCAAAACTTTGGTCTTTTGGTTTTTAATTGCCACATCGTGTACTCCAACAAAGAATGAACAGAAACCTTTTATCCTGAGATGGTAAAATCCAATTTCCTTTTGGAAGTGAGCAATCACTAGAAAAATGGTTTTTTGTACATGTATAATTCACTTTACAGCCACATTTGCTAAGAAGTTTTTATTTTGTAATTGTATGTTATTTTCCATTAAATGTAAATGTCTTAAAAATTGTTGGCATAGTTAATACATTTTTGGGTGCTACAACAAATATTGAGTTCTATATTCTGTAGTTTTTACACATACAAGTCAAATATAAATCTTATAATTAAGTTGTATGAAAGAGGTATTAGTGATGTTGTGAATATGTCATAATAGCATTCTTATTTTGAAAATTTGATGAAATAACTAAAATAAATAAAACAAGACTGATACACCTGGGCATATTAAAGGTGTTGCAAATGTTCTTGTCTGTAAAAGAAGAAAAGTTATGGCTAAGACAGTTTACTGACATATCTTAACATGTAAATTGTTGTATTAGCATCTTTAGCCATATCAGGTACTGCTATCGTATTAGCAGTAATAGCATCTTTTAATCATGTTTGATTTTCAGGATGTTGTAATCTTTGATATACACTATTTCAAAAACAATGTTTAGAACATGCTAGAAGAATCTCTCCTATTGTAAGTGTGATTTACAATAAAACTCTGTCTTCATTTTGTTATTCAGCATAACAGAGAAATGCATACAATGGCACATTTTTAATGCTGATATCAGGCCCAAGTTAGCAACTGCATTTTCAATTGGCTCTATCAAACTTGTGCTCCATGGAGTTGTTTTGTTCCAAATAATATTTAAGCAATAATGTAAATAATATTTGAGCAATAATATAAAAATATGGACTTTTAAGGAATTATCTGTACATTTTTACTATATTTTGTCTGCTATTTTGAGATATTACTAAAGGTTATTTTATTACTGGATGTTATACTGCTAGAGCTCATTAAATAATATTGCTTATAGTTATTTAATCATTAGGTAAACCTTGGTTAAGAATTTTTCCAAGCTCTGTTTTTTCACTGGTTACCTGCTCACAATGGACACGTGCGTGCACATACACACACACAGTCACACAGCGTATAGTGAATTGAATGCTCAGGAAACAAAATATATTATATAATGCTTTTAAAAAGGTGAAGATTTGAAGAATATTTTTAAAATCTTAGATAAAAGTTTAAAGGGTATTACTATATAAGTTATTATGTAACTTATGTCACTTACGTAATGTGGCTGAAGTGTTTACAGTAAAACATGTAATACTCTTTACAGTCCAGTTC